TGGAAGGGGGAGGGGAGGGCAGCGCGGGGCACACTATGGACCTCGTCCTCGCAGGGCCTGCTGCACGACGACTGAGGAGCCTACACGCTGGCTGCGAGAGCGCTGTCACAGGGATTACAACTCTGACCCATCGCATTCAAGATATTCTTCTATGTTTCTATATCAGGGGTACGGGCGGTAGGGTGGTCGGGGAGGTGCTGGGGAGGGAAGCGCGGGGCACACTGTGGACCTCGTCCTCGCAGGGCCTGCTGCACGACGACTGAGGAGCCCACACGCTGGCTGCGAGGGCGCTGTCACAGGGATTACAACTCTGACCCACCGCGTCGATGTTTAAGATATTCTTCTATGTTTCTATATCAGGGGTACGGGCGGTAGGGTGGTCGGGGTGGTGCTGGTGGTATGGAAGGGGGAGTAGTAGTGGACAGGGGGAAAGGCACGGGCGGGCGCGGGCAAGGGAAGGGCGGCGGTCGCCCAGGAAATCGAATCTAGCCGGGGAAATCTCATTGACACGATTCAGAGCAATGGGATTGGCAAATTCGCGACCAGCTTGCGCGCCGCCGGCCGGGCTCGAGCCTCGGCTAGAGCCGGGGCATGGCCGGGGGCTCTGGACCCCCATCGGGCTGCCCCCGGCCACTCCACGCCATCCGCGAAGATGGATCCCGGCGCCGCATCCCAAACCGCAGCGGGCCTGCGGCCGGGCCATGCGGACCCAAAAGCGCCCCCCCCCCCCCCCCCCCCCCAAAAGCACCCCCCCCCCCCCCCCCCCCCCCCCCCCCCCCCCCCCCGGGCGCCTCCCCCCGCTGGCGCAGCTCGCGCCGCACAAAACGAGGCGAGCGCGCGGTCCTTAAACAGCCCTCGGGCGCGCGCACACGACCATATATTTTTGCTCGGTAAATAAAGACTTTGGGGCTGGATTTTGATGCAGTGTGTCAACACGCCCCGGCGCGCAGGGCTTAACTCCCAAGTCAAACAAACGAGCCGGGTGCGGAGGGCGCGGTGCGGGGGCGGGGAGGACAGGTGGGGTCGCGGAGTGCGGCGCGCCGCGGGGCCCAGACGCTCTAGGGCGCCCGGTCGTACTACCTGAGGGGGTGACGCCGAGACAGAGGTCCCCGTCGACGAACGGGGAGTAGTGGTGAGGACAGGGCCGTAGACAGACAAGGGTGCCCGTCAATGATACTGGGTGCCTGAGCCAAGGATAGGGTGCCCGTCCAGGATATCGAACCAGCCGTGAACGAGGGGGCCACCTGCCCGCCGTGGATGAGGTGTTCGCTGTAGGTGGCTCAATCTCAAGGTGCTCAATCTCGAGGTGGTCGGTCAATCTCAAGTTTGTCATGGGGCTCCCTGGGCTGAAACCAGAACAGGGTGCCCGCCGTGCCCAGGCCGTGCCCAGGCCGTGCCCAGGCCGTGCCCCTGTCCCCCGGGAGCCCCCGCCGCCCCGCCAGGCCCCGCGGCGTGCTCGGTGGTGGCGGCGCGGCCTGGCCTTTGCAACACAGCCGCTGCAGCCGCTGCACCACATCCACGATGCATATTCATGAGATGCACTGGCAGCTGCAGTAGCGCTACCTTGTGAACCGTATCGCATCAGCCGCCCCCGCGCACACGTCAGCCGAGCGTGGCGCAGGCCGTGACACGGGAGCGTGACGTGGAGCAGGGACGGAGCGTGACACAGTCCGGCAGTTGCATGCCGAGCGTGGTGCAGAGCATGACACGGGAGCGTGACTGACGTGACACAGTCCGACACCTATATCGAGCGTGGTGCCGGGCATAGCACGGGGAGTGTGACACAGTGCGGCGGTTGCATGCCGAGCGTGGCACAGAGCGTGACACAGGAGCGTGACACAGGAGCGTGACACAGGAGCGTGACCGTGGGTGTGACACAGTCCGGCAGCTGCATGCCTGGCAACGCCTGGAGTGCGCGCGATCTCCAAACAAAAATACGATTGTTGATCCGTAACGCTGAGGCTGGGCTGCGCAGGCAGGCGCGGCCGGGGCCCTCGACTGGTCACGCTGCGCCGCTTAAAGCCACGCATGTGCACCACATAAAAAAGCAAATCGTGACCTCTCGACTGCTCAGTGACAAAGTCAACACGTTGGGCCGCGGCGACACCCTGCAGCCTGCGGTCCAGCACGGCCCGCCTCGAGGACAGGTGGAGAGAGCTGGCTGCATGGGCTGTTGCTGTTGGACAGCGTTAGCGCCCGGCTCAGCCAGCACAGGCTCAGTCATGGAAAGTACCGCAAATGTAAACGCGACGCGATGGGCATAGTATCGCACAAGAAGGATTTTGTGATGCCACCTTCAGTTGAGCCAGAGATGAGAGCACAAAACCATCAATATCTCCAGTATCAGCTATCAACGACCCAACTTTTGTTGCAATGCTAACAAATATCTGTCCCGAATCATGAGCGCTTAGCAGACCACTTCGATGTTAGCTGAGTAATAAGCTAGATACATACAATAGGACAAACTTGTGCCCAGGCGGTCTTCCTTAGACCATTTATGTCTTTAGAACATTCAAGTCAAAAGTGTTCATTATCTCAGCACAAAAGAAGTAACTGACGTAAGCATACAAAGATTAGTAACATAAAATATTCTCTTCACAGAGAAGGCATGCAGTAGCAAAACTATATCATTCAATTCATGATGGCATGAATGAAGATATAGGAAAAACGTACAACCAAGATTAGCGCAATCCAATTCCGGTCATATTAGTAGAACTTATTTCCAACTGAAGCACAAGTATTTCAATCTAAATGCAAAATCAACAAAAATTTCACTTAGCTTACTTTCAGACAAAAATAGGTAGATATGTGAGAACTTGTTCAAAACTAGAGATTTATAGATAAATGAAATGTCCCCACATTTTTAGGTTAAGTCACTGTCACTGAGCTCTAAAGCAGCACAATAAAATTAGTATGATACAACTAAACATTCATGAGATGAGTAAATGGTTCTAAATATAGTTTGGTAGTAATACAATAGCAATATATTGAGTAGAGTGGTCATAAACAAGTTTTGATTGAAGAAATGAGAAACCAAACAATCTGTTTTCAATGTTGTTGGAAGACAAGAAGTTGAGGTGCAATAAGAATATCGATTCACCAAGTATTAAACAACTGCACGACAAAGTAAAAGTTATTGAATAGAGGATAAAATTAAAACAGAGACGATTACCAGTTATATGATGCATTCTATGTCGGCAGCACTCCCCATCAACAACCAAAACATCACATTTTAAAACGACCCTAAATCTGTTTGACAGCCCCCCAAAATATGAGAAACTTCCTACAACATTAAATTTCACTAAGAATTTATTTTAAACAAGAGCCTAGCACCTTGCGTAGCAGAAGATTGAGACACATGTAAATAAAAACAATCTCGATTCATACAGAAGCCAAAAAGTGGACGTCAGGTCGCTCTAACCCTACTACTAACTCGTCTGTTTGGACGGTTCTTGCCGTAAAGTCCCCGAGAAATTTATATTCACCGATAGAAAATAGACTCAAGATTTCACTCACCTGGTTGTTTATTGGCTATCTTGTTAAAACAATTCTGAAATACTTCATAAAGTGCCATAGGCTCATCATCACTGGTTGCCATCTTGATTCAACCAAAGCTTACTGACCAGAAAAAATCGACTGTCTACTGTTTCACAGTAACGGCTTGGTAGGGGGCGCCACTGTCAAGAAGGGTTGTGTGCGAACAAGGGGTGGCGCTAAAGACTTCAATTCGTCTCCGGCACAAAATGGAAAAAAACATTTTTGGGAATGTTCAGTTTTTATTGAATGAACAAAATGTTGTAGTAACAGTAATGATACATTGATATACGGACTCAAAATATATAACTATGCATCTCCTTTTCTAATATCACAGATATACGCAAATCACTTTTGTATTTCTTTCCAAAAACATAGTAGTGTGGCACTAGCGTAGAAAACACAAGTCTTTTGCAGCTGTGAAGTATAAATAGCCCAAAAATTTGTAAACAAACACTAAAGGAATGGGTTTACAATGTCAGATCAAATTATTCATTGACTGGGCAAGTATGATGAATAATTGACAAATGCAACAAACATCTTAAAATATTTTTTATATCAGAAATATAAATAATAGAAAATAATAAATAATTTACAATAAGGGGTATGAAAGTCAGGCCCTAAAAAATCTCTGAGGGACCTAGCCATTTCCTCTTTAACTATATTTCGTCAAAGAAAATTATCTGAGTGCTCTGTTTTTTGACAAAATAACGTATTCTGAATTGTTAAGTTAACATCCTCACAGAAGGTCTTTCCTTATAAGGATAAATCACAGTCAGTATTGGACAAGAAAAATTCAAAATACTACATGAAAAGAGAAATAAAAGTAAACTAAACCCTACTTTCATTGGGTTGGTAATTTAAATCTAGTAATCAGTCACAAACAAAAATTAATTTAGGTACAATTAAAATATTCATCACAGTCCCAGCTGATAAAAAATATATGAAAAAACAGACTGATGTTCTGTGTTATCTTCAGTTTTATTCCGTTCAGAATAGTGCCAGCGAGTCCATTTAAATAAATTTCATGGACTTACGTGAACTTCACACAACAAATTGTGGATTTTCCTTGCTAAATTTACATCTACACCCAATGTCACAGAAATATCTCGTACTGATGAGCACCTGAAAGTTGAAAGGAAAGATAGATAAATTATTAACATATGCATTTTTAAAAAAAAATTATTTCTTGAATTTAGGGAAGTGAACACGCAGTTCTAAGCTTGCCTTTCAAAAAATTCCTCCAGTGTTGAATATCTGCTAGAGAGCTTCAATGCAAAAGCAAAATTGATTCCAGGTAACGAAGTAAAGAAGCTGAGTTTCTGAAAATGAAAGGCAACTTAAATAAATGTTACTGGGTGGAAAGAATGATATTCTTGTAATGTGTTCCAGAACAATTTTTAGACTATTATCAAGCATTGCACATGGGAAGAAAATTAAGAGGATACTTACAGATTCAACTTCATCAGACAGATTTACTGCTAGTTCAGGAACACCTTGGCAAGCATCTGTTTCTTTTCTAGCCAGCTTTGCTAAAAACCCAGCTGTTTCATCTGTAATACTAGATTCATTTAAAACACCTGTCCTTTTCCATATTTTAGGCAAAAATCATGAAGAAAAGCACTTACCATAATTTTGTGAGAAAAGAAGAAACAATCCAGCCTGTCTCATTAGGGTTGCATTAGCACAAGAAGCAGCTGAGTTCCATGGTGACAATGTGCTTGCGGGCTGGTCAGCCTGAGGAGGAGCTTTAGTTTTAGCATTTTTACCTTTCTTCTGAAAACCTACCATTGCAAGAGATTTGACACGGTCGTTTTCAATGATTATGTAAGGTTTTATAAATGACCCTCTTAACTTTTTGGTAAGTTCCTCTAGCTTTTTTCTATCCTTTAGATCTGGAAAGGAATTAAATGAAGAACATAAAATAATATTTGTTTTAAATACACATTTCAGAACTAAGATAATTTTATGAATGTTTTCCTCACCTGATGAAAAAATGCGACTTACTCCAAAACGCCAACTTAAAATAAAATCTGTTTCTAGACCACCACGCGGAACTATATCAACATTATAGTTGACTCGTAACACACGTAACAAATCGGTAGAACTAGAGAGTTGTTTTGAGGAAGCAATAATTAAAATCCGTGAGGAAGGGCGCGAAGCTCCAGGCTGAGCAGAAAGAGTTTCACCAAATTATTGACAAAAATTGACAGGTAGGTGCACTATTCCAGGAGAAGAACTTCTCTTGTCAAACCAATTGCTTTCGTGACTGTACTCACAATTACTTTACCACAAACTGCAGAAGCTGAAGGGGCTGGTTTGCAATAAGCTGATACCGCATGATCTGTAGATCTAGAATCAGCGTCACTACTAGTAATGGTAGCTTGTTTTAAATGTCCCATTGCTTGAGGCACTTCCATCACATTGCTGGCCTTGTGAGTGTGAGTTTGTACAACTTTGAGCTTTCCATCACCTGACATCACAGATGTTTTTTTGACAAATTTGGAGAAATTTTTGCACCCTGATGGACCAGCTTCATAGGTTGGGTTTGAACTCTTTGGTATTTCAGGAATATCAGGTATAGCACTGAAATCTAAATCATCATCTAGTAGCCTAGCAAGGTCATCAACAGGTTCGCGAAATTCCTCAAAATCCCTCTTTTCAACATCCTGCGGGACAACAAAAGAGTTTTCAGGAGCGGTGACCTGTTTTTCTTCAACCATTGTTTCTTCCATGATTTTTATTCGTTTTAAGCGTTTTCGTTTCCCAATTAGTTCTTCAACACTGTCATCACTTTCTGGTTCATTGTTTAGTTTCTTTGGTTGGTTATCAGATCCTCCTGCTTTCTTGAGCTTTCGTTTTTGCCTTCTTTCTGCTTTAAGTCGAGCTTCAGCAATTTCAAGGAGAGACATTTCAGGTTCATACTGAGTTGGTTCATCATCAACACAAAAAGAGTCCTGGAGAGTAAAACAATATAGATATAGTAATAGAACAAATTGTATGAAAATGTTTCTTCCAAACCAATGAGTGTAAAACTTACATTAGCATAGGTTTGATCTAATTCTTCAGCATCTGGAGCTTGTGAATAAATATCCAGGCACACATTTGGGAGATTACGCGGTATTTTAAACCTGCCCACAGCTGGACTCCTATTAACAGAAAAAAATATTTGTAGAATTACATGCTTACAAAAGTGTTCCATTTTTAATCAGATTCATTTACCTAATGGACTGTAGATATTTATCATGAATGTCTACTATTGCCTGTGATGCCTCTGGCTGAGAGTCATTGATAAAACTAGAATCAAGTTCATCCATATTAGAAGAATCTCCATCGCTTGAGCCACCATCACCATCATCTGATTCTTCAGCCTCACAAACAATAAAACCATTTCCCTATTAAAAATAAAAATAAAAATGCATTAGACAGTTATGGGAAACAATTCTTTACTAGTTTCTGATGTTTGCTAGAAAAATTAAAAACAGAATGGAGTGGTAGTTCAAGTAAGTACTGTACACACCTTTTTGGAACGCTTTTTTTTCTTTTTTGGTTTTTGGGGTCGCTTTCTGTTTTGCTGTACAAAATCATCACTGTCTGTGCTATGGTCTCTATCATCTACTTTGCTGATACTTCCTAATCCATTATTTTCATCTTCATCCAGAAATTCATTCAAGATGGAATCATCACAGAACTCTGACAAGTTTAATGGATTATTTTTATCTGTGCAACCAAAGTCGTCAGTCCTGGATATTTTTGTATCTTTTCTTAAAATGGTATCAGATGATGATGATGAGCTCTGAAGCACCGCTCTATTTCTTTTTCTAATATGTGATGAGGGCCGAGAAGTTGGATTTGTTTGACCTGACCTAAAGTTTTCTTCAGATGATGTAGTGACATTGAGGGCACAATTCTTTCCCTTTCTAGTATGTTGGATATCTTCATCATCAGATGAAAGGATTAAAATAGAATTTTCATGAGTTTCTTTAATTTTTGCTGCAGAGACCGAGGGAGCAGTTTCTAACTTTCTTGTAGAAGGTAAATGATTTGATTTTTTTGTCGCCAAGCTCAACTTTTTCTTTTTTCCTTGACCATTAAAGTTTGACTGATTGCTTTGAGCCTTAACAGTATGTCCTTTATTTGCTGAGTTTATAGTTTCAGTTTTGGTTTCAATGGTATCCAAAACATCCAAAATTGAATCATCACAAAAGTCAGATAGATTAAAAGCACTGTTCTGAACAGAAGCTTCTTCAGAAAAATCTTGTGTTTCTCTGGGAGTAGGTTTAGCAGAGATCCAACCTGTTTTGAGAGATTTTGCTTGCCACTTGTTATTTAAGGGGAACCTTTTTGAAGAAAATGATTGATTTACACTGGTTTTGCTACTAGGTGGTTTCCCAAGAAACTTATAACCTTTGCTTACTTTTGGCGTTGAGGCTGAGGCTCCCTCAAAGGATTTCTTTTTTGCCTCTCTTGCAGCATCAAACAAAGCGAAAGCTGCATCAAGTTCATTTTCAGGAGTACTGTCTCTGGATAAGCGCTTACTTAACTCAGGACTTTGAATTTCCTCAATTTCGTTTTCAGGAGTATTGTCTCTGAGGCTGCATTTTTTTAACACAGGAGTGTGAACTTCTGCTATTTCATTTTCAGGAGTTCTCTCTCTGGTGGTTCTTAAATTGTCATCCCATTTATTTTTTGGCACTGCATCATTGTTGTTTGAATTTTTAGGAGCTTGAGTTTCTACAGTGACATTAGACGTTGGTTCAACTATCGTCACAAGATCAGGGATGCTTTTAGTATTAACAGTTCCCTGGTTTTCTTCTTGTGAACACAGCCATGTGTTGTTAAATTCATCCCCAAACATACTAAAATCAACTTGTGAAAAAGAATCGGGTTGCTTAGGAACAGATACAAGTCTATTAGTTTTGTTGGTTTCTGGTTTAGTCTCATCTCTTTTAGGATCAGGTCCATCTATTGACTTTTTCTTTAACCTTAGCTTTGATGGTCTCCTAACAGTTTGGCTAGGTCTAAAAATGGGAGACATGCTTCGATCTGAAACCATAACAACTTCACTCTCTTCAGCACCATCTTGATCTGTAGAGTTATACACTTCTTCACAAATACCAATAGGTTTCTGTTGATTATGCTCAGTGGATGAGACATCATTTTTATCAAGATGTTTGGGTGGGGATTCTGGCAAATTGTTGGAAGTGACTGGCAATAAACAATCGGCCTTTACAAATATCTCATCGTCACAGTCAGCAAATAAGTCTTCTTCACTCCTTGATAATTCATCATTGTCCTCAAGCTTTGCAGCATTCATTTCATCTGAATAATTTAGGGGACTAGAAGATTGATTTGCTTTTCCTAGTGAAGATGAGCTGTCAGCTCTTTCTATTCTCAATTCTGGACTTACAGTTTTTGAATCATACATTTCCATTATCTGTGTTATGCCTCCCAAAGTAGTCTCACACATCTGACGCAATTCCTGACTAAAAGTTTTCTCCTGTTGCTTTGATTTTGCTTCAAGAGCTTTCTTTCTTATTGCCTCCTTCAGAGCATCATCGACATTGCTTGATTTTCCATTATTTGCATTTCCACCACTTACATTTCCATTATCTTCACCAGATAATGGAAACAAGCTGTCATCAAATAAATCAAAATTAATATCAAGCAGATTAGTTTTTTTATTGCTTAACTGTGATGAACTTGATACTTCCTTATCAGAAACTGTTTCTTTTTCTTCATTTTCTTTCACAATATCAGATGGTCTAGTATGTTCAGACACACTTTGTAATTCACTTCGAGAGGATATCTTTCGCAAGCGGAGAGGTGGGCGAGGTTTCATTGCTTGTTGAGAACCTAGAATTGGTGATACTTGCTCAGAAATTACATGCTTCTTCCTTGGTGGGGTGCAACTTTTAACAGGAAACTCTTCCTCTATATTTAAAGGTACTGTTTCACTAGTATTCTTCCTCACGGGTATATCATGAGAAGAATTTTCTGGTGTTAATGAAGAAGATTTTATTTTTGAAGTATTGGTTGTGTTACAGTTGTCAATAATGGGTGTTTGATCTTTACTGGTTAAATCTTTTTCTTGAGAGCCAAACAAATCATCCATTTTTGACAAACCTAGAAAGTCAAAGCTCATATCTTCAAATTGATCTTCAATTTTTACATCTGATTCTTTTTTTGGGGTCATTGTACACTCAATTTCTTCAGTTATTTCTGCCTTGATATGTTGCGTACTTAAATGTGCTTTGGGTGGAGAAGAGAATTTCTGCTTTAAAGCACTGTAATTCTTTCTGGGAGAGGAAACACTTTGAGAGGAAGAAACATATTTAGAAGGAGACACTGACAGGTCTCCCACTCCTCCACAGAGCATTCCACTAAACATTTCATCTTCAGCAATTATTTCAGGATTTGGTATAAGTGAGACGATTTTCTGACTGTTACTATCCAATGCATGCTGTTTCTCAAACACCTGCTTGGTTAGACGTGGTACAAAATTTAATACCTTATCCAAGGACTTGCTAACATCTTTCCAGGTTTCATCCATTTTCCTTCTTTTAGATTCTAGAGCCAATTTGTTGAATGACTTGCAAAGGAATAGATCATTACAGATGTTACATTCATCTTCTTCTTCCATTGTTAGATCTCTTAGTGCCTTTGATAACTGTCTGTATAATTCCTGCTTCCCAGGTTGAGATGACAATTGTGTAAAACCAGTTATGGAACTTGTGTTCAGATTATCATCATCTTCACTGTCCACACATATCACTTCATATTCTGAGGCGGGTGACTCTTTCAAATGTATGTCTGATGAAGATTTTGGTTGCGGAGGCAAGAATGCAGGAGATGGTGTTTTCAATATATGTGGCTTAGTTACAGGTTCTGGACTAGCAGGTGAGTCATCCTCATCATCCTCTATGAACATTGGCTTGCTGAATAAAGAAAATAGAATTTAGTAACTTGAAATCTATGATATGAAGACTCAAAATAAACAGAGGGGTTTATTTACCATTTAGGTTTCAATGGCTGTTGTGCTGCTTCATTTTCCTCAATGTTGATGTCTGCTTTGGGTTGAGCTTTGAAAGGAGAGTCTAAGTTTGAATCTTTTCTAGGTCGACCCCTCTTCTTAGGTAGATTGGAGTCTTTTGTATCAGTGCTAGCTGGTCGCCCACGTTTTTTGGATTTAGAAGGCCAGAGTTGAGAAGAAGTAACTTGAGAGGAGAAGCCTGTGAGACACAAACACAACATGATGTAAAAACAAGAGAACCATAGGTTTAAAAACATTAACTTTTAAGAAAAAAAACATAGGTTTACCTCTACAAAGAAAACGCTGATCACTATCTCTTCTTTCATCAGCCCACATCAACAAATCTGAGAGCATATCAGAATCAGTGGAATTCCCAACTATGTGGGTTCGCTGAAAGAATTAAAACCACATAGATGTTTAAGATGTGATATGAAAATATTCTACTGAAGGGTGAAGATAATCTAACCTGTCGAAATCGCATGTATTCTACATATGTAGCAAGATCCACATTACTTGGCAATAATTCTTGACAACCAATTTCATCTAAAACAAAAAATGCGTTGCTCTAAATGAACTGAATAAAATTGTGGCTATGTAACCATGAACTTAAATGACAGGTGTACCTGGTGTTTTAACCCAAAGTTCACATTTATCTGGAATTTTATTGAAATCATAACAACTTTGATCTTTCCAAAAGGATTTGAGTTCTTCCAACTCATCTTCAGAAAGATACGGAACTTTCCCAATAGTTGTCCGTCCACTTGTGGAGGGCTTTGATGAGCCTCCACTATTATTACTACCCCGCTTCAGGAACATTTTTCGCAGGTCCTGTTGGCCTGACTTTGGTTTGTTGGTGGTGCCTGCAATTTCCCTCTCTGTATACTCAGGCTGTACTCCTAAAGAATAAAAAACAGTATTTTGAGAAAAATAAATAGAGATAGGTAGATGTATTATAATACACACAGATGAATTTCTGATCAGAATTGATCTAATAGTTTTTACCAGGTGGTAGCATTCGAGGAGATTCATCTAACAAATGATTTGCTAGGTTTTCCTTGTTAAGCATTACAGCACGAACATTTTTTTTCTTAAATAGCCCTTGGTTGTATTTCTAAAAAGTATTTGTTTCACATAATCACTCTAATATTTCAGGAGAATATTTATATTAAATAAAGAGCCCAGTGAATGTTCAGGTTTACCTGTTCCTCCTTTCCCCGGGTCACCAGCATTATGATGCGACCATTTCTTTTCCGCCCAGTGCGGCCCATCCTTTGAACTTGACGAATAGGAGAGTTCTTGGCATCAAAACAGATAATTAAGTCCACCTCTCCGATGTCGAGTCCTTCCTCACCAACACTTGTTGAAACAAGGGTATTGTAAAGACCTCTCTTAAATTTTTCCATGATCTAAAGTTACAAAATTAAGAATGAGTACTATCGACTTAACAAAATTGAGATTGAAAATTAAAGAGTTTAATTGAAGTACACGAAAATAATGGTACAGGAAAGTATACCTCAAGTTGCTGCTTCTGAGTGATGCCTTTAGTGCTTTTGCCAACTGACTGGCCCATGAAAGCAACAGGTTTTACCAAAGGTTCAAAGTTTTTCAACATTTCACAAATTTCTACTACTCCTTCCCTGTACTGCAAGGATCCATAAAAAGAATGATCACAACCTTAAAGCTCCTTTAAAGACCAAGTTAAAGTATTATAGAAAAGTAAAATGAGTAATACCTCACAAAACACAATGGCTCTAGTAGCTTCACCTTTCTGTTGAAAACTTTCAAAGTGTGCTACAACAATTTCTTGCAAGCGATCAAGTTTAGGGTGGCCATAAATACGTCTTTTATTAATTTTACCATTAGCTTCCTGCAAGTTAGTTGTAAAGTTACAGTTACATATACACTTGTATAGACAAGAAACAAACCCGGGATAAAATTATGTTGCTAAAATAACCCAGTCAAAAAGGAAACCTACCTCATCAAGCTCAACTGGATTTAGAACACCATCAATTTCATTTATTAGAGCCTTTACATCCTCGTCTACAGCCAGTCTATTGGCAACTGCATCTTTCTTCTCCATAGCAGCTGCAAAATTAAAAATTTGATTCCATGCAAAATTAAGATTTAAGTTTGAAATAAATTATTGTTTTTTTGAAAAATAACTTTTTAAATGAATTTACTGCTTAATGGAAACTTACCTTTCAAATGGTTGAGAAGTAGTCTGAGGCCATATGTGCTAAGAAGTTCAAGTCCATGAACAAACATGTGAACAGTAGCAAAGTCAGTATTTAGTTTATTTTGCTCCTCTCGACCTACTGAATTTGCTTCTTCACGTCGAAAATTCTCCCATTCTTTGAGAACCTAATGGTGCAAGAGATAAAAGAAAACAAATGCTATGTTTCAACCTAAATTTACTACATAAAATATTTGGTGAAATTTCACTTACTGTGAATCGAGGCATATTGCTGATGTTTCCAAACAGAAGTTTACGTTGTTGCAAGCGCTGCGCATATCCAGCTGCAATCTGACACAAGCATTTATGATAATACAGCTTAAATTCAAAACAAATAAATGCTTGGGGTCCAATCATTACTTACTCCAACAAATTTGACCCTTATTCGGTTTATAGTCGGTCCCACATCAACAACCATTAGTTCAAGATTTCTTTCATGTGTGTACTTAGTAATATCTGAGGAGTCTTCTGTTCTTACTTCTATGCGGCTGATCATCAAATTGCTCAAAACCTGTTAAAAATGAAACCAGTAGAAAATTTTAGCAGTGCTACAGTGCTACAATGAACATCTCCATTGAAGCTCATCAAAAACCTTTTGAACAGCTTCTAAATCACTCCCAGGGGTGGCAGATAGAGCTAAAACTCTATAATTAGCATTATATGAATTCAGAAGACGAATCACCTACAAATCAACATTAAATTGTTAGATTGTCAAACTGCGCACAAACAGGATTATTAGTAATACGAAAATATACTTTAGCTTTTTACCTGAGCATAGGCATGGTCCCCTAATGCTCGGTGGGCCTCATCAATAACAACACACTTGACAGAAAGAGCTGGACAAATATTTGCACTCAGATCATTTTGAACAACTTGGGGAGTCAGGAAAAAAACTCTCTTTTCTTTCCATGTCACTGCTCGTAATTTACTCTGCAGTGCACCTAAAATAAATTTGAAAAAAATATCAAAATATTTTCAAATTGAACAGTGTTCAAATGGCACTCTTATGTAGATATATTTTAGAATGACCTGTCATTTCAGCAGTGTGGGATTCAGGGATGCCCATTATGTTAATGCAGTTTTCAATCTGTTGTGCAACCAGAGGTTTTGTAGGAGCCATGAAAATAATCTTACCCTTAGGGTACCACATGTAAAAGTTATACATGACAACAGCAGCAATAAATGTCTTTCCAAGACCTAAAACAGAAAAGAGGGGCACTCAAGATAAGTCTACAATATTATTACCACAAGACAGAGGCAAGTTTCACAATTAGGATACCTGTGGGAAGGCTGACAAGTGTGTTATGGAATAGGGCTGTTTCAACAATGCTTCTTTGATAAGTTCTGACAGGAAACTTGTCATTTTTTGGATAAACCCAAATTTTACCAGAATTGAGATCAAATCCTTCAGCTTCTGGACCATCATAAAGCTCACTCTCTTCAACTTCAAGCTTTGCAGGTGGATACGGTTTCTTGAAAACATCCCTCGGGATTGAGGTTTGAGCACTGGTGCTTGGGCCAGGCAATCCATCATCACTGTGACAGAGCATTAGTTATGATAAACACATATTCTTAAAAACTAACAGCAGTGTAGAGATAAAATTACTTTTTCCTACCTAATTGTGACTGGTGATAAAACACGTTGACTTAGGCGAGGAAGTTCTACTTCCTCATACAATCTACCAAAAACACAGTACTTGAGTAAAAAAAGTGTTTGAATGAAAATTTTAATTAAAAACTAGAAACATTTATCATTACCTGGCAGACTCTTCAAGGGCTCGTCGAAGCTCTTCATCATTGTCGTCGTCCCACATGTCGGTTGTTATACATGGGGAGAAAAAGTAGAGCGTTTACTTTCTCTCATGTCCTGAAAAACCTCCTGATATGATAGGAAAATGAGTTCAACCAGGACAAGTTAGTCCTAGAAGGTTAAGTCCAAAGCCTGCAAGTGACAAACAATAAATGTGAAGTATTATCATAATTACCACACTTAGATAAAATATGGTTAAGTTAATGCATTGACCATTTTTGCGTGTATTATGGTGAGGCATAACAACATCGAGTTAATACTTCAACACAGATCACAGTAGAACATAACCTAACGAGTACCATGGTCTTTCGGCAACTACTAAATAAAGAGTTACATACAACAAGGGAATCCCAATGACATCCAAACTGAGCTATTCCTATAATATCAGTCTGTTATAGTTTCGCTAAGTCAAGCCTCAACTTGTACCTGGCCATTCTAAATCCAAACAGATCAGCAAGGTTTGTTTTGAACTTTCAGAAATCAAACTACAAAAGAGTGGCGGGTACGGGTGAAGCGGGGTGGTGGGGGGAGGCGGGGGGCTGACGAAGGAAACGTTGCTGCCCTCTGGATGTAGAGGTAGGCACCACTGGCAGCCGTGGCCATACTCCACGCCACGCATGGCTGTCTGCTGCTCGTCGATACTCCTCACGCTGGACAACATGCTAAACTCAGTGGTTGGGGGTTTAAATATCGCATATATAGCTCGCATTTTTATCATTTTTTAAAAATGTAGTGTTTCTAGTTGGTCACTGATTCGAATATCGCCCGAAGAACCCCCTTTCCACTCTCCTTTAACACAGCCTCCAAGTGATCCCCCGGCTGTGGCTACAGTTTTTCTCACAAAAGGGGGGGGGGGAGGAGGGGGCGTCAGTGGCGGCTCCAGGCTCGGGCGAAGCTTATGGCTGTGTCGGTGGTAGCTACAACTATGTGTGAGAGAAGCATCTCTGTCTAAGCTAAGGGGGCAAATTACAGATCTGTATTTGTGTTTCTTCACCAAGGGAAATTTTGAATCAGGTTGAACCCACGTTATATCCATGAAACTTTCTCGTTCGGCTGGAAGCGGCTGTTCTCACTCCGACTACCGAAGTCACCAATGACTGCGGTGGATGAGGAAAGTAGGTGCGGGCGGGTTTGCCTACCCGCTCTGCCCGTAAGGCGCTGTAGCCCCCTGGGTAGGCAAACCCGCTCGCACCTGTGTCTTTAATGCGCTTTTATGAAACACCCGGTACGTACTCCCCCACTATTATTTTTCAATTCTGGTCGGATGGGGGATGTGCAGAGGGGTGTGAGAATTTTCGGCGCCGAGTGGACTTTGTCTTTTGCCTATACACTGGAAAAACTAATGTTACCGAGGGAACGGCGCGTGGTCAACTGCGGGCATGGCCTGGGCGCCCGAGGGAACGTTTTCATCATCCCCCGTAGCGCCGTTTTTCCAATGGGCATTAAAATGAGCAAAAAAGGTAACACACTCCTGGCGCATTTAATGCGCATTAGTGCATTGAATGCGCATTAATGCGCATTGGCGCTTATGGGGAAGTGACCAAGTCAGGTAACGTTCCCTGATGCAACCTATACGTAAGTACCTCATGCAAAAAGATAGGGCTATCACAAACAGGTTGCATCACCAAACGTTTCCTATGGTTTGGTTGCGTCAAGAAACGTTACCTCGGTAACATTAGTTTTTCCAGTGTACAGTCTGCTGTGGCCTTGTCGAGTGTAGCCACAACTATGTAGCTACAAACAGGGCCGTGGCGCCAATGGCTCCTGCAGCCCAAGAGAGTATGCAACCCCGCAACACTGCAGCGCGTAGAAACGCACCTTGTCTTTTCTCCAGCGCGGCCCGTCAGTCAGTGGGTGATGAAGAGGCTGAAAACCTTTCAGTGTGAAAGGCACTTAACTTTTCCTGTGCCAGGTGGCTAGTTTACCGAACGGAAGCGCGCGGGCGGGCTTGCCTACACTGGTAAAACAAAGGTGTGAAATCACACATTTTAAAGGCATGAAAGTTCTAAAGGCGTTCACGTTTTAGATTTTTCGATGTAGTTTAGTTTTTCCACACGTAAGCGGAAGCGGAATTGTGGGCTCAACACGAAAATATAAGATCTACACAAACCTTGGTTTGCTTCATCAGAAAATATTTGAGAAAAAGCAAAACGTTAACGCCTTTTCACTTTAACGCCCCTCGAATTATGCGACACAATTTTTTATTTGTATTGAGGTGTACACAATTTTTTGGACTTGAAAAAGTTCACTAATGTAAAAATTAGAGTGACAATCGGGTGAAATCGGGCTTTGCTGTTCGGTTTGCTGCCTGCTTCCCGACAGTACTCCCTTAAGCTGATGGGCTGGGAGTGATGTCGGGAAGCAGGCAGCAAACCGAACAGCAAAGCCGATATCACCCGAGCGGGTAGGCAACGCGCCCACGCGTAGGAATGCGGTACAGAAATGCTCGGGGTGTCAGGAATCAGCCACCTAGTTAGTCGTACTGAAGAAAGAAAAACACAGCTGTGTCGGTGTGCTGATCTTTCGTCAGACGGACTATACAATCGTCTCACACTTGGGTGAAGCTTGTGTTTCATAGTTAACGTGCCAAATTTTGATTTATCAAGAGTCAAGTTGTGTTTCTGGAAAGAAATATTTTGTAATTTTTCCGGTATAATAATTGTATCTACTATTTTCAATACCTCCTGCGTTTTGGCTCTTGTACGTTTCTGCCATCTTACAAAAAGTGTCTGAATTATCGACGAAGGGAAGAGTGTTGAAGGAAACGCTACTGAACAAAGCTATGCTCTTTATTAAAGCGAAAGATAGCTAGATACATTTCATTGTGGATAATGAAAGAGGTTGTCATTCAATCTTGCAAAAGGGTAGCTCTCCTTGACGCAGCGTAATAAAAATCGATTTTTTTTATGACATCGACTGAACTTTATAATGCGATTCATGACCACCCTACACATCTAGCTGATCTACACAGTTTAGGCTCGAAAAATATTTGCAATGCCATGCAAATGAGATAAATCGTTCGAACACTCTGTTAAAATTCGGTTTCGAGAGGTCCAAGCTTCTGAGGATACCGAGCACGCAATAAGAACCGCTATATCGTCCTCTTTTACAATGAATGAACAAATGTATTTCCGATTCCCATTGTGAGGAACTCGAAGAAGGATCTGTTAACAAAAATAAAAGTGCCGTGCAGCGGCTTAAAAAATAAAGAAATACAATTACGCCTTCTAAGAAAAAAAAACTATTATTTTTGAAGTTTTTTTAAAGGTGTCTCGACATTTAACGTAACAAACTCTAACAAGATCAATCAGTCAACAGGTAAGTAACGGGAAACAGGCAATCAGTATAACAATCGTAAAATGATAAGTTCAAAACGAAATAAAACTTAGCATAATCTTAAGAGTAAGTCATATCATGTCAGGAAATGGAGCGACTGCGACGTTCACATGGGGAATGCCCACAAGAGCGTCGAGCCATATTATTCCTCTCATTTCGCAACACTACTATTATTGTCAATACACAGCAGATATCAGATAACAAGAGTGTCAATCTGGCTAGAGTATTTCATATATTACATATTACCGCCGCTCCTCTTATTTCATAAATCTTAAACTTGTCTTAACACATGTTTAGACATGTTAATATATTCTTAGACGTTACACTGCTCTAATATTACATTATTTTGGAAGACGTTGATTTTGTTGTTTCAACCGCCCTAAGGCTCGTTTCTTAAAATTCAAGTAAATTACAATAGTCCACTAACATTGTTCACATTCGGTTCAACATATACGAACAACATCCTGAGGATGGTCAGTCTATTCTATTGAAACCCCGTCGCCCCTACAGGAAGGACAATGATGAATCAAGTGCTCCCCCTCCTCTTGTTTCCCCTCCCCTCCCTCCCTTCTTCCCCCCCCCTCTCTCTCTCTCTCTCTCACTTACACTCCTCGCTCGCTCTCTCGCCCCCATTCCCTTCACTGCACTACAAGCTCCAGCACAATAACTCAACCTAGCCAACACAACAATAAACCTAAACTCAATCTGGATATATCGGTGCATATTAAAAAGCGATTGCATCATTGTTGCGTTTGAAACTTACACTATGTCCAAGATACCCAAACATTTAACACAATTATCACAGAAAAAATTCATAAATTCACTCACAAAAACATTTTTGAAGCTTAAAATCCAGAGTAGTTTTTAATGCCAAGAGAAATTTAAACACGCAGAAAATTTGTGTTCATTATAGTCGAAATTCTTTTCAAAATGGAAGAAAAACCTGAAATTTTTCGTTTTTGAATAAGCCTAACGGAGTAATAAACAAAATAAAAAAAACAACAAAGTTGACCATGCCTTAGCCAACCGGGCCAGCACAACTCTTCCTTTGATATGTGTCGTATTTCGAACGAGACACTACACAACCACACAGTGCAGCTTTTCACATTGTTTAACAATTGACAGACCTGAAACTCGTTTCCTTACACCACGGCTTTTACTAGGAAAACGCCTCACTTTCAAATTCACCTTCTGTCACAATTTGTTTCTATCACTCAGTTTTGGCCTTCTCTGATATGTTGATATCAAATCAGTTTTGGAGCGATGGGGGAACAAATCAGCTCGACGTATCTACTCCCCCCCCCCTCTCTCTCGCTCTTTCTCTCTCTCTCTCTCTCTTTCGCTCACTCGCTCACCACATGATATGTTTTCCGCTGATATTTGGTTGTTTTCTCACGCGCTCTACAAGCTGCTCGTAAGCAAGTGACGAAAGCCTTAAGGCATTGGCGTATCGGGCTATCGCGGTACAGAATAACAAACAGACGAAATAAGAATAAGAAACGTGGTTACACGTTGTTTTTTATCTTTTCATATTACCATCCTAGGTTGAAGCACTGAACAGACACACGCGCAAACACGCCCCCCTCCCTTAAAATAAAAAGTTCCCAGGTCCGAGATAACACACACTCGAACACAAACTCACACGCACACACACATACACCGTCGTGGGCTCC